TCCCTCCCTCCCTCCCTCCCTTCCTTCCTTCCTTCCTTCCTTCCTCCCTTTCTTTTTCCTCTCTCTCTCTTTCCTTCCTTCCTCCTTTCCTTCCTTTCTTTGTGCTTTTTGTTTTGTTTTTCAGAATTAAAGGCATGAGCCACCACCACCCAGCTCCCATTTAGCTTGTTAAATTCTTTCCTTCAGTTCTTTATCTGAAAGAGAGGGATTTCAAGAACTACATTCAATGTCTTAGGGAAATCACAGAAGCAAAAAGCCCAGTGCAGTGATGACTATTGGTAAGGAACAACATCGTTTCCTTATATGTGGAGTCCAGATGTGTGTGTGTGTGTGTGTGTGTGTGTGTGTGTGTGTGTGTGTGTGTGTGTGTGTGTACACTAAAAAGGGGACTGTGTCATGGGAGGAAAATATCCTGTAGGAGGAGTTAGAGTAGAAATGGAGAGGATAATGAAATGCATATGATGAGAAAGCAAAGGGGGCATTTAGGGGAAAGGGTCCAGGAAGAGTATGGTAAATGAAAATCCATACGTTAGTGTGGCTCCCACACTTCAGCAGAGAAATTTCCTTGTGTTGTTGACATTGGTTAACGCAGGAACGCACAATGAGTCCAAGTACAGAGAATAAATGTCTGTGTACAGCAAGGCCACAAATCTGCCATCTACATTAGCACCTTGCTAAAAGCTCAGGGGCTGACCACTGAGGAAGAAAGTGGCAGAAAGATGGTAAGAGCCACAGGCCAGGTGGGACTGGAGCGACACGGTCTTTTCTGGATATGACAGGACCAGTGGACTCATGAACTCACAGCACTTGTGACTGTCTGAACAAAATCAAGCCAGTCAACATTCCAGCATGGGCTGGGCGGCAGGCTCCAGAGGTTCAACCCCTAACTGAAGAGCTCTTGACAGCTGATGCCTTTTAGGGGAAGGGAGAGCCAGTTTTCTTTAAGGGTGTAAGTTAACCACACTCATCAGACGGCCCCCACCCATGAGTATACGTGAAACACAAGTTGGACTCAGTGGGCTATTCTTTTCAAAAAGAGGACATGAAGCTGTGGGTAGGGAGGTGAAGATGGACCTGGTAAGAGCCAGGAGGAGCAGTGGGGAGTGAATATGGTTAAAATACACTGTAGTATAATAATAATAATAATAATAATAATAATAATAATAATAATAATAATAAAAGTCAGGTGGTGGCACATGCCTTTAATCCCAGCACTCGGGAGGCAGAGGCAGGCGGATCTCTGTGAGTTCAAGACCAGCCTGGGCTACAGAGTGAGTTCCGGGAATACTCGCAAAACTACACAGAGAAACCCTGCCTCAAAAAATCATACCCATCCCACCCTCCACAAAACAATAACAACAACAACAAAAACAAAACAAAACAAAATACATTGTCTTAAATTCTCAAAGCATTAATAAAAATGTTTTTAAAAGAAGTAGGCAGGGAGATAGATTGGGAAGTAGGAAACAGGGACAAACAAGAACAAAATATAATGACATACACACATGAAAAAGTCCCAATGAAACCCATTATGCTGCATGCTAACTTGAAAGTTAATTTAAAATAAAAATAAAGGACATCATGGAGATGTCTACCTGTGTCCACAATGTGGAATTCTAAACAGTAAGGACTTTTTCAGCGTTGTCCCTATGATAGCCATTAGTCCTGCACAATTCTTGGCAACCAGGGAAATTGGAACCAAGCTTCAGTCTCTTCCATTTAAAAATTGAAAGTATCTGACTTGGAGGTCCGTTGTCACGGTGATATTCAGTGTTTCTATAGAAACCGATTTATTTTTCTATCAAAGTCCTTTGTGCGGAAAGTTCCATTTGCTAGATTGTGACCATTACCGTGGTGTTTTTACATTTACACTCTCCATCTTGCGCGTGTGTGCCCATGTGTGGAAGTCAGTGGACAACCTGGGGGGGGGAGGACGGTCAACCCTCTCCTTCCACTATGTGGGACCTACGGACCAAACCCAGGCCAGCAGACTTGGCAGCAAGTGCCCCTATCTGCTGAGCCACAGCACCAACACAATTACCATATTTGTTATGTGCATCTTTAAACTGTATATCCATAGGCTAAATATGGTTGTTTACAGAAGATTGGATGACACAGACAAGACACATATCATTTTATACCCACTAGACTTGACATCATATTCGAAAGTTGTGACTATAATAAATATCATTTAGCAACAAATGAAAGGTCAGGTTTGTAAAAATAATGGAGTGTTGTCTGAAAAGTATTATCTGATTTTTGTTAAGTTTCACGGTGTGGTTTTATTTTATTGAGTATTATTTCCTGAATATAAAAAAGCCAGATAGTGGACTATCTCTCTCAGCAATGATGAACCACAGGCTGGGAAGATGGCAAGTGTGAGGACCCGGGTTTGAAACCTCAGAACCCAGGTAAAGGCAAGGGTGGTAGCTTGCATCTGTAACCCCAGATTACACTGAAGACATCTTAAGCAAGGCCGAGGGTAAGGATGAAAACCTAAGGCTGTCTGTTCTCTGACCTGCACAAACACGCCATGGCACATGTGCACCTACATCCATACACATGAACACATTCACACATAGACACATGATATTATTTATTTCAATTGTTTACTTTAAAAAATTCATACATTAGTACTGTACCACATTATTTCTACCTCTCCTCCTTTTCTGCTTCCTCTCAAATTAATAATCTCTTCTTCATTATTGTTACACACATACATATACATACACATATACACAGAAGCCTACTGAATCTATATACTGTTGCTTATATGTGTATGGGTTTAGAGATGACAGGTTGGGATTGACTAATCCATCAGAGTGGCTCATCCCTGGAGGAAACTGAATATCCCTCTCTCAGAAGCTCATGCTTGCCTGAAAGTCTTCATTTAGGTGTGATGCCTTGTGAGATTTGCCTTGTCTAAGCTGATGAGTTGACTGGTGTTGTCCTGGTCTTGTTTAGGCAACATACTGTTGAGATTTCCTAGGTACACCTTCCCTGTCATGTCTAGAGGACAGTAGCTCACATCAGATGTTCTGGTCTTTTACATTCTTTCTACCCCTGCTTCCATGATTTTCCTTGAGCCCTAGGTGTGGAAACTGTGTTGTAGATATATCAGTTGGGGTTGGGCATCCCACAGTCTGTTGTTCTCTGCATTTTGATCAGTTGTGAATCTTTGTAATAGTCTCTGTTGCAAAAAGAAACTTCTTTGATGATGGGTAATGGCTATGCTTATCTGTGGCAATAAGAATAAATACTTAGAAAATATTTACAAATTATATTGGTCTGTGTAAATGGCAGTCAAAGGTTCTACTCTAGGGTCTATGACCTCCCTAGTCAAGGGTAGTTGTCTATGTTTGTAGTACCAAGAATGAATTCCTTTCTATTGAGTGGGCCTTAAATCCAACTAGCCTAAAAACCAACAGCTGTTGGTTACCTCCAAGTTATTTAGTGCCACCATTTCACTACTGGGGATATCACCCTGGTCATTGTTGTGGTTTGTAGCCTCTACAGCTAGGTGAAACTATTGATTTCTTTTCTCCCTTGGCAGCTTGAGAACTAGTCCTCAGGAAGGAGGCCTCTAGATCAATCCCTGCAGCCTCTTAAGATACATAATCTTTTTATCGTGTATATATGTACATCATGTAGAGTGGGGACCCACATGGCAAGATGGACTTGTGGGGGTTAGAGGACAACTCTGTGGAATCTGTTCTCCTTTATATGGGTTCTGAGGATCGCACTCAGGTTGTCAGGCTTGTACAGTGTGTGCCTCACCACTGAGCCGGCTCGCCAGCTCGCCAGCTCAAATGTATTTAAAAAAAACAAAACTCTTAAATTATGCACCCGTGAAGCTAAATATTGTGGGTCTCTTGTTAAGTGAGAAAATTCTAGTACTTTGTATTTTCCCATATATATACATATGCACACACATATATATACATACATACATATGAGACATTTCTATAAAGGATGGAACTCTGAATATAGGAAAAAATTCAGTGGGGGTCATTTATCAGGTTGTGAGAGATGGTAAAACCATGAAAGAATTGTATAAGGAAGTATTTTGGGATGCTGTAGCTATTCTATATCTTGATTGTGATGGTAATAGCATAAATCTATATATGTGTTTAAAAATCACAGATTTAATCCTAAAATATGTTGACTAGACCTTGAAAACTTAAAAGTTAAAATAACTGTTTTAAGGATAACTGACAATTTTCTGATTGGATTTGACGTCTGCCCACTGGAAGAAACTCATGTCTGATGCTGTAACCCTGGCTTAAATGGACAGTTGTGGATGTCACAGGCCCCCAGGGAAAAACTACTACTATTAATTTTCTAAATGGGTGTATAGTCAAGCTACTTTCTAAATCCTTATATCTATCCCCATAGATTAGTGCTGCTCTTGGCCTTGGGCAGGAAGCTTCTTTTTGCAGTGTGTGATGGTGAATGCAGAAACTCATAACTGGTCAAAATCGTGAGAATAAGTAACTGTTGAGTGCTTACCCTTATAAGGGACATCTCTATAACCTCTTCCAAGGCCCAGGAAACATTGTGGAAGACCAGGTGGAAAATGGGTAAAAGCTGGAAGATGGAGAAGAACACTATGAAGGCCTGTTTTCTGGCTATGCTATGGCTTTTGCAATCATGTACACAGTAGCTATGGTTGCTTACACAAGGTGGAGCTCTTCAGCATTCTATCATGGATAGGTGAAGGGCTTGTGAGGCCCCCACCCCTGGCTGAGGAGCTATTGGTAGTTAATGGTTGCTAGAGGAGGAAGAGTAACTTTCTTCTGTGATAGAGCCACTAGCAAATTGGAGCCCATGCTCCAGTAAATAACCTACCCATGGTATACGAGCAGCTCCAATTAACCACACACACACACACACACACACACACACACACACACACACACACACACACACGTGAGGAAGACTAGTTGGGAAGAGTGAAGGAGTAGGAGGGGGATAAGACGAGGGATCATGAGAAGGGAAAAAGATCTTTTTGTTTTGCTTTGTTTTGGGTTCTTTTGGTTGTTTTTCTGGGTTTTTAAATTTTCTCATTTATTTTGTTTTGTGTGTGCCTATGTGCATGTGTGTATCTGTGTTGGTGCACATGTGAGTGTGAGAGCATCAGAGGACAACCTGCAGTAGTATGTTCTCTCCTTCCACCATGTGAGTCCCAGACTGCCAGGCTTGGCTGCAAGACCTTTCCCTACTGAGGCATCTCATGGGCCTCTGTTTTGTTTTTGAGGTTCTCATGAAGCCCAGGCTGGCCTCAAACTCTTGAACTTCCTGCCTTCCTCTCTCAAGGGTTAGGATTACAGACATGTACCATCACATTTGACTGGAAGAAGATATCTTAAGGGAGGGATGAGGAAGGAGAAAGAGGGGGTAATGGAATTTACATGGCTTCCAAGCATGGGCTGGCTATTAAGAGGAAAGGGAGCCAGCCAGAAGGAAGCAGCAGGACAGGAAAAGCGTTGGGAGAGGGAGTTGGATAAGAACGAGTATGTATGAAAAGGCCATAATGAACCCATCATGCTGTATACTAACTTAAATTTTTAATTTCAAAAGGTCCAGAAAGATGGCTCAGTGATTAAAAACACTAGCCATGAAAGTCTGACAACCCTAGTTTGATACCTAGAATCCACATAAAGGCAGAAGGAGAGAACTGACTCCACAAAATTGTCCTCTGACCTCCACGTGTGTGTCATGGTATGAGTGTGCCCACACAAATCATACACATAACACACACTAGTAATAATAAATAAGATAAAATACATTAGTAATTATCAAATAACAAAATGCACTAATAAAAATTAGTAAATTAAAAAAAGATTATTTTCTGTTTATTTAAAAGTAAAAGCATGTCCTTGATACCTGGTTTTTTTATTATAGACCCAAGCTGCAAATTGGTTAAAGTGTTAACCCACGGGTGACTGATTAAAAAAAGTGTGCCGCATCTGTGCATTGATGTGTCATTCAGGAAAAAGAAAAAGAAAAATGATGAGTGAAATCATTCAAACAACGGAAAAAAGACTGATTATCAATCTCGGTGTAGTAGTTTATGCCTTTAATCTCAGCAGTTTGGAGTCTGAGACAGAAAGACTACCCCTTCAAAACCAGGACTACTTAGCAAGATTGTATCTTGTTTTGTTTTTTGTAAATCACTATGTACTGGGCAAAGGAAGAAATACATATGAGGATGTAAGCAAAGAGGAAGGAACCCTGGTGGGAGTATAAAGTGGTATAGATACTTTGCAAATCAGTATGCAGGTTCCTCAAAAGAATTAAATTGAATCACATATGACCCAGCTACACCACTCTTGGGTACTGACCTTAAGGACTCTACATCCTGACACAGAGATGTTTGCACATATTCATTATTTATTTCATTGTTTAGTGCTATTGGATATGCACCAGGAGAGGAGGAGACAAAAAAGTTTGCTATACACACACACACACACACACACACACACACACACACACACAATGGAATTTTACTCAGCCATAAAGAATAATGAAATGATGATATTTGTAAGAAAACGGTTGAAACTGGAGATCATTAGGTTAAACAAAATAAGACAAAGAAAAACAAATACTTCAGTTTTCTGTCATATGCAAAGCCTAAATTTACATGTTTATGTACATACATGTAAATGAAAGTGGAGAAGGGATTATGAGAAGGAAGGTGCCAGAAGGGAGGGATGAGTGTAGAACAAGAGGGGACGTGAAAGGAGAAAGAAGTATTTCAGGAGGAAGGAGAAAGCAAGAGGGAGGAGGGGAGTGGGCAATGGGGGGAGGGGCATGCAATAACAGTGAAAAAGAGGCCATGGATCTGAAGAAAAGTGGGGCGGGACGTATATGAGAGGGTGTGGAGGAAGGAAAGGGAAGGGAGAAATGTAATTATGCTATAATTTCAAAAATTAAAAAATGATTGAAATATTAAAAGAAAAAAGACCAAAATACAATGGCATATATTGATGAAGCTGTGCCAATGAAGCTGTGAACCCCATTACTTTGCATGGTAATTCAAGACAATTTAAAAATTCTAGGAAAGCACTTACTGTTTGAATTTATTCCCATAAATGACAGGAAATGTAATGTAATCTCTTGTGATAGAGAGCTGGTAACTGTGCCTAGGATGGAGGAAAGGTAGAGAAAAGCAACAAAGGGAGACAGTTATAACAGAGCAGGAAGAAATTTGATGACGAATAATATAACAATCGGGCTGGTGAGATGGCTCAGCAGGCTGACTAAAGATGCCTGCCTCCAAGCCTGAACGCCAAAATTCAATCCTCAGGTCCCACTGAGTGGAGGGAAAACCCCACTCCTGAGGGTTGTTCTTTGGCCTCTGTTAGCATACTGCAGCATATGTGTACCCCCATGAAACACGTGTAACAAAAATATTCTAAAAAAAATGCAATGATTATCTTAATCCTAGTACCAGTTACACACATGAGTTAAAATCTATCAAATTGTACAATTTTAGTATGTGCACTTTATGCTAATCACACATAAAATAACAAGGAGAAGATGTGCTAGTTTACCCATCAGATTGCTAATGTATTATACACTTGATGTTTAGGGAAAATGAAGATGTGGTACAAACATACTATCCATTCACTGCTGGTGATGCTTTACGAAGAAAGGACACAACTACTCAAGGAAATAAGCCTGGACATTTGCATCATGATTTACATGTACCAAGCCATCCAAATCACTAATTCTGTGACTAGAAATACAAACAAGTAGACAAGCACACAAATGTGTATGGAATGTTGCTTTTAAAAGCGAGCAACTATGTTTAAGCGGTGGGGTTCTAGTATAATAAATTACGGTGTGACTATACAGCATATATAATATTATAAACTAAAAACTCTATGTGTGCCTCAAGATCCTCACGTCATACTGATGATGGAACTAAAATCTGGCCCATAGACAGAATAGTTTCTAATCACTGAAACCTCTGAGTCTGTTCATTTTGGCTTTCAGCTCCTCAAACATCTATTTGTATGCAACCTTTTCCCTTTTCTACTGCATATAACTCCCACTAAGCAGTAAGGTTTCAGCCCAATGTTGACTTACTTATTTAGATATACCCTTCCTGATTACACTAAATTAATCTGATATCGCTTACTTCATGCTTGGATGCCTCATGCATGGTTCTGCTAATCAGAGCCAGCATCTTTTACACTAAGCTTTTTGAAAATGCTAAGCTTTTAAACTGTTTTCGCTAACAGACTGGGAACTCACTCTGAAAACTCCAACGAGTTTGGATCAATGCCTAACACATAATAGATGTTATATAACTATGGTTCTTGCATAGATAAAATTTCTGGTCCAGAGCTATTGTTGTCACTAATATTTAATTCTGGACTACTTTATAATAACTGATTTAATCCCTCCCAAAGGAAATTACCTGACAAGTATAGTCTCCATGATTTCATAGATAGCAGTGATTCAGCAACATCCCAAGGATTTTAATCTCATATATGGTAGAATCTGGAACTGAGCCAAAAAATATCTCCCTTTGGAGTCCATGCCTTTAAAACCTGTATATGACTCTTTCCTCTAAATAAATGACCAGAAAGCACTATAGGAATCAGTTTTTGTGGCTTAGCAGAAAAAGCCTAGAGTCTAAGCCCTGTTCCCACTTACTTCTCTAGGAAAACTAGATGGGAGTTGAGGCCCTAGGCTATACATTGTTAGTTGGCTCTCTGTCCTGCTGTGCAGAGTTGAATTGTCCTTGTGGAGTGAAACAATGGTTCATTTATGTAAAGACAAGGGGAAATGGCACCCTCTCCTCAATCCACTGCTGTGGCAGCATTAAATATACCCCAAATTGCTTTGCCAAGCAGGAAGTGGAATTACATTCTCATATGTACTATCAAAATTGGAAAGAAAATACCCAAAATTTCAGTATATATACAAACTCACAAATATGGTAATAAATGAATAAATAAATAATAAATAAATCCCAAGTCAAGGGGATCTTCTGTAATGGTTCAGGGAACAGGGGGAAAGATGGGGGCATAAAGAATGTAAGAGCCAGAGGATCAGGGACCTTGCTGTGAGATTGTGTCTCTTACTAATGTCAGAAGGCACACCCATAATGTCTCACCAACATGACAGCCTAAACGAGTGCTGAACAAGGATGACACTAATGAAGAAGGCGAACTGGACTGGGAAAAACCCATGAAGTCTCAACCCTACACAAAAAAACTACTGGCAACTACGAAAAGCTGGGAACAGAAGACATAGTATTCCCCGAGGAAGAGACACCAACTGGTTGTCCAGTGCTGAACAGTCAGCTCTGAAACATACACACAAGTGACATTATAGAGAAGGAACAGGTTCTATTTAGGAATATATACCTATTATGAATATACATATATGCGTGCAATAACAACTTGTGAAACAAAGAGTCCTGAATTGGAAGGACAGTAGGGAAGGACATATGGGACAGTTTTGAGGGGCGAAAAGCAAGGGAGAAATGTTGTAATTACATTGTTATCACAAAAATAAAATAAAAGGAAAGAAAAAACTGGAAAATGACTAGTATGAAGTGGTAACTTCCACATAGACTGACAGCAAGCTGGACAGACAACACAAGAGAGATCAGCTTTTTCTGTACAGAACAAGTCAGAGGACTGGGATAGTCGATAAAGTAACTCATCAAGGGCTTGGAACTGACACACACTGGCCCCACATTCATGTGCCCAGCTCTGATTTCAGTGGCTTTCTCCCCAGCAGCCATCTCCTTTCTCCCCAGATGCAGGAGTCTGGGCCTCTCTGGGTGACGTTCTGCTGGCAATCCTGTTGCCAGTGACACACTGCCCTGCCACGGAGTTCATTCACTAGATAAAGCCATGCCCGATTCCCCAAACTCCACCAAAAAGCTGGGACATGTCAAAGTCTACGAGCGCCACGGGGTCAGTCCCCAGTAGGATTACAAACTGAGACTGTCCAGCACACGTTTCATCCCTTCTAGCCGAACAAGTACAAAGTATCCATTTGCCTTTGAAGAAATAAGGGCGCCTGTGAGCGGCTGGAGCCATGGCTCAGCACTCAGGAGCACTTGCTGCTCTTCCAGAAGAACCGAGTTAGGTTGCCAGCACCCACATCAGGCAGATCGCGACCACCTACAACTCGGTGCCAGGGGATCCCACGCCCTCTGCTACGCATGCACACAAATTAAAGCGCGTCTTTAGCAAACCCCCTGTAAAAACCTTTTCCATCGCGTATTCCATCAACATGCACTTACTAAATGCCACTCTCACCTGCTGCTGCTTGAAACCCACTTAGAGGCAAAGCCTGTGCTTACTATGCAGTAAAGGCTTTCATTGCATTCCCACAACCCTCTGAAGCCAGTACTTGAGTTACATCCACTTTAAAGGGGGTGGGGTGGGGGTGGGGAGCCAGGCTCTGAGCAAGTTCACGCTTCAGATGACACAAGAAAAGCAGAATGCCTAGCTGTGGGGCCTCCCCTGGGGGAGTAAGGACTGACTCATTACTCTTTGGGGCAGGCCAGAATCAACTTGAGCGAGGAAGATGCCTGGGAGCAAGCAGGTGGGACTCAGACGGGGCAGAATGGAGGGGAGGCATTTCAGGCAGAGGAATCTGAGCAAGAGGAAGGAGCGGACAGAGGTCAGAGTGTGCACCCGGGGAACAGGCCAAGGCAGGTGTGCTGGCTCGCTGGCCTGGAAAGCTAAGATCCAACTGCACTGTACCATCTCTCTGCTCCCCATTCCCATCCATTGTCTGAAGCCTGCCAGTGGTCTCCCTTCAAATGCCTTTCTGTCTCTCAGTCCCCATGGCAACAGCCTTAAAGCTCACTTTCATCCAGCTGCTTCTTATTCTAATTGCTTCCTCTGTGGCCTGCCAGGAAGTATTCTGGCCCTCTGTGAGGCTGCGCAAATCTAGGTCTGATCTTCTCACTGCCCCGCTTAATTGCCCAGGCCAAGGCGTACAGGCTCTGCGCCTCTCGAGCGCTGCTCGCTGCCTCTGCACTCCCATCCCCGCCCCTCACCCACCGCTTTGGTCATTAAGTCTATTATTCAGGTCCCTCATGGGCCCACGAATTAATTAGCCACACATAAACGCCTTCTGAAACCCGGGCGGGAGAATGAATGTGCTGCGTAAGCCAAGACAGCCAAGGAGGGCTGGGGTCAGCTGACCCCTTGCAAGACTGTGCTCCGCCGCGCCCCTCCCCCACCCTCTCAGCCCGCCTTTGGGGAGAATGGAAGGGAGGGCCTGCTGTTTGCCAAAACCTATGAACCAATAGGATAACGTGTGCACCTGCCTAAAGAATACCGAGATTCTTCTCTCCTGCGCACAGGACAAATCCCCGCCAACCCTTAGCTGTCTTATCTACCCTTGTGGGACCCAAAATGCAGCCCGCTCCTTTTCCTTTCGGCGAGCGGAAGTTCCTGTGCGGGAGCGTCCCACTTCCTCTTGGGTGTTCGGCGTGTGCGTGGCAGGAGAGGCGGGGCCAACGCTGCTCCGGTTTCTCGCGCGCTTGGCGCTGCGGCCAGTGCGGGCGGCGACTGCTTGCGCAAGTCTGCTTGCCAGGGAAAGGGCTTTGTGGCCGAAACGACCGCTTCCTTGCTACAAAGACTCCGCTGGCGTTTGCGGTTCGGCGGCTCTCCCCGCGTAAGATAATCACGTTGCTCCGACGCTGCAGATCGCCTTCTCCAGAACTGCTGCAGGCTTTGAGCGCTTGGCAGGAGCCATGCCTCGGGGACGGAAGAGTCGGCGCCGCCGGAACGCAAAGGCAGCAGAAGAGAATCGCAACAATCGCAAGATCCAGGCCTCAGAGGCCTCTAAGACCCCGATGGCGGCTTCTGTGGTCCCGAGCACACCCGAAGACTACCTGAGCGGCCCTGAGGAAGACACAAGCACTCCGGAGAAGGCCTCTACTACCCCTGAAGAAGCTTCAAGCACTGCCCGAGTGCAAAAGCCTATTACCCGGAGCAATTTCCAGGGCACCAAGAAAAGTCTGCTCATGTCCATATTAGCCCTCATCTTCATCATGGGCAACAGCGCCAAGGAGGCCCTGGTGTGGAAAGTCCTGGGGAAGTTAGGGATGCAGCCTGGGAGGCAGCACAGCATCTTTGGAGATCCGAAGAAGGTCGTTACAGAAGAGTTTGTTCGCAGAGGGTATCTGCTTTATAAGCCAGTGCCCCGCAGCAGTCCGGTGGAGTATGAGTTCTTCTGGGGCCCTCGAGCACACGTGGAGTCCAGCAAGCTGAAAGTCATGCATTTTGTGGCAAGAGTTCGGAACCGATGCTCCAAAGACTGGCCATGTAACTATGACTGGGATTCGGATGATGATGCAGAGGTTGAGGCTATACTCAATTCGGGTGCTAGGGGTTATTCCACTCCATAGAGAGATCCCAGGCAGACCCTTAGGAGTGGAAAAGAGAATCCAAAGTACTCCATGGAGTAGATAGGCAGGGTCCTAAAATCAAAATGATGTGGAGGGTGGGGAGGGCACTGTATTTGGTATTTGTGATCAGTACTAATTGTTAAAGTGCGAAATAGTGTTTGCTTTAGATATTGTAATCTTGTATTCATTTTATAACACTGTCGATTAAGAACCACAATATGTTTAAATTTATAAATGAAAAGATGTTTATGTTCTTGTTCCTGTCATTGACATTTGCTACAACAGCTGTGCAAACCTTATTAAATGAAGGCCTTCTGTCATGTTGTGGGATGTACAGATTTGTACCAAGGAAAGGGGCTGTTCTTAGAAAGTTTGGAATAACCAGTACAATGTGAGTGAGGGAAAATGACAGGCTCGTTCTGTCTTACCTTTGTGTCTGTTGTCTTGTGAAGAAACACATCTGTGCAAATAGCATAAATAAAAGCAGAGTAAATAGTCTGTTTTCTTCATTTATTGTCCACCTGTTAAGTGAGGTTCAAGTTTACATTCTAGGAACAGTCCTTAGCAGATAGCAAGCACCTATTTTCCAAGAAACTTCTACATGGTGGGGGAGGGGAAAAGGAGGAAACGCATCAAGTGTTGTAGAGATTGAGAATTAAGAAGTAAGGAGAAGGTAGACAAGCTGATGATATCACCTGGGGACATAGACCAAGAAAAGAGGGTGTCGTAGGGTGCCTGGGAAACCAAGGAACACTTGGAGACTGAAGAGGAGATGAGGAAGGGCCATCATGATATATTATTTGGTATAGGGTGTGTCATTGGAATCTTAATGCACCTTGACAGAAAAGCCATTGGCAAAGATTGGAACCCCTTCTAGAATACGTTTAAAATAGAAGATACACAGTTATTGTCTTGAGAGAAGGATAGCAGGAAAAAAATAGGTAGCCGTGGGGACCCTAAAAGTGAAAAGGAGGAGACGATAAGAAAAAATTTTGACGCTAGGTCAATCTGAGTTCTAAAGGTAATATTGGGAGAGAGTAAATCTGGAGACACTGAAGGCAACACAGAAATTTAAAGAATAAGAAATTCCTCAGTGGACTGGTCAGGTGTTGTTACAGCTTACAATAAGGCAGTGATAATAAAATCATGAATAGCCATGATGACCTGGGACACTTGGGGGAAAAGCCCTGAAACATCTGGCCTTCAGCATGTGGGAGGAGCCTGAGAGAAGATTCAACCTGTAAGTTCACAGCAGGACACTTACAGGTTTCTCAGGTGTTAACACTTTCTTGCACTGTACAGTGCTCAAAATGTTCAGTGTGTGTGTGTGTGGGGGGGGTTTCAGGGTCAAGGTAATGTTGGGATTTCCCTTTGAGGTAAGGTGGTGACTTACCTCAAAGGTAAGTGTGGAGATACAGTAGCCTCCTCCCCATTCTCCTTGCTACCTGGCTGAGAACATGGAGGAGAACTGTCCAGCTTTAGAGCTGACCACATTTACCACCAAGAAAGCACTAAGAAAGCAGACTGCACTCTCCTGGGGAACAAGAAGGACATGCCTGACCCAGGCATGCCACACAAACCAGAGACCAAGATGCTTTAGGCCTGCCTCCACTACAGTTTCACCTGGCCCATAGCTGAGTACAAGGCCCAGTCACTGGGTGCAGGGCAGGGTGGCAGACCATTTCCTGCAAAGCTCAAACCCACAGCCAGCAGTGTGCAGGCTAAGAAGACTTCATGCGGAAGCAGAGCCCATGAAGTAAGCTTCAGCAGCTCCCAACACACATGGTGAGCACCTTCTATGGTGCAGGAGGGGCCTGAGAAGCCCGGCACACACACTCAGGAGGCTGGTCACTTGCCCTGAAGGTACATGTGGGTCAGTCTCCCTAAAGAGGTGGGCAGCCAGGGAAACCTGGGAAGGTCAGCAGTAGGCTTTCTGGGCCAGAGCCACTGAAGGGGTGGCCCTGAGACAAGATCCTGGGTCCCTCTCCACACTCCCAGAGTTCCTTTCTCTAGGCCACCCTACCATCTGTTAAGGCTTGCCAGGGCACACTCACAGGGTCTCTGCCCTCCAAGGAGACGGGAAGGTTCAGTCCCCTGTCATCAGTCCCATGGAAGGGGAGGCTCACTGGATCTCCTTGCACAGAGGCTCCTCTTAGCAGTCATTCACCCCAGGAAAATCAGCTAGGAAGTAGGAGAGCCTGTGGCAGAGGTTTCTTCAGCACTTCTGCATGCCAGAGGAGGGACACATTTTGTCCCTCCCAGGCCATGATGACCAATGAACCAGTTTTACAGAAGTGTCAGCTAGCTCAGGGCTGGATGTGATTTATGACCATCTAAAGCCTGCCCGAGTCTGTGACGGCTCTCTTGGGCACAAAGATCCAAAGGCCTAATGTGGTTTCCGCTGTGTAGAGGCCAAGAAGCTTCGTGAAGACCCCAGCGAAGGAGAGCCCCTACATGGGGAAAAGGAACAGGAGTAAGCCTCCAGCCCCACTGTACCACGGATTGCTGCTGGAATCCCAAACGCTTGAGCAGGAGGCTCTGCTCAGCTGGAATGTGGAAACCAAGGCTTGCGGGGACTGCTTAGCCCCGGGGTGGACCCTTCAAGGGGCTAGGCTCATCTCCCTGCAGGCTGAGTCCTCCCGCCACACTGTTGAAGCCCTGCAAAGTGACCCTCCCTTCGGTGGAGGGAAAGGTGAGGGAGGGCGAGATTCCCAGGGGCTGTGAGATGAGTGACAGGACTCGGGAGAGGCAGGAAAGGGGGCTCACGGAAGAGGGTGAGCCAAAGAGCATGCTCACTGTAGCATCCATCCACACAGATTCTTTCAGCCTTGAATTCTGTGGAGATGAGACCGCAAACTCTGAGGCCTTGCTCCGGGAAACCTGAAGGCCAAAGTGGTCCCACCCCTGCAGCGTTTCCAAGAAATCAGTGGGAGAGCTGCGGTTTCAGTTTGCAAGATTGAAGGAGGGGGGGTGAACACCAGGTCTGGGACCACTCCAGCGGGTTAGGGAACAAGGTTTTGCTAAGGGAAGAGAAAGGGAGCGGGAGGGAGCCTCAAAGGGACAGCGATGGGGGATTGCCAAGGAGAGAAGAGTACCGAGTTGGCCTCACCTGAGAACCTAAATGAAGCCAGGCACTTCTGGGGCTCTTTCCATGCACTGTCTCTAATCCATGGGCCAGCCGCTATTTTGAGGTAGGGGACTCCAGGCCAGGTTGACAACAGCAGAAGCTAACCTCATAGCCACAGATGCCTGGGGTCCTCATGTCTGCAAGTGAAATGTGAGCCTGGATAGGAGGAAGGAGATGAGGGGGTTTACCTTGCTGACATGTAAAAGAAGGATTGTTCTGAAATAAGGAACAATGCTTTAATGCCAGAGCATCTACCATACTTAGTTAAGGGCAGAAAAGCCAACATGTCTGAGGTGTACAGAGCTGGAAGGGAATGAAAAGGAGAAAAAAATCAGAGGCAAGAACAGGTCACTGACTTCCAGTGAAACAAGCAGGGCATTTGAAGGAACTTCCCTCATGTCTGCAAGTGAAATGTGAGCCTGGATAGGAGGAGGCACTGTGTGGCTTGTGCAGTGAGACCTGGCATGCCTGGAAGGAGGACCACACA